TTCATTATGCATCTGCAGCTTGATGAATATAAATCATGCAAAAGCTCATTAATTCAGACATACAGTATTTCTATGTTTGATATCTTTCTCCTCCTCTCTTTTTCTCTTTGTACGACAATTATGGCCAGATGTCAGCGTCTGAGGTTGGGCTCTTAAATCATCACAAATCATCACACCATCAGACACAAGTGAGTTGATGAAGATTTTCATTAAAACTCGAACAAACATTTCCTTCTCTCTTACGCATAACTTCCTAAATTTGCTGAAGACACGCTCCCATTGTTATCACATCTGTTTTAAAATATCATTTTTCATCATTCATGGAGAGTGAAAATAATTACAAAAGATTGACAGGAGAGAAAAATAGATTGGGAGAAGAAATGAGAGCTCTCTTTGCGAACAGATTCTTTGAGGACATTGATGTTTGTTGAGCATAAAAAAAAAATCTCTCAGAGTCTCTCTTTACTGGTGGTCCCATAAATCTGCATACACCAACGCATGCATACACAACCTCTCAGATAAACAAGCACGTATACACACACACAAAGACTATTTACTCACGCAAACATTTGCCAACCTACACACGATAAAAGACTTCAAGGAATCTTCTAATTTGCCCCGCCAACAAAAGCCTGCCTTCACACAAACGCCTCTCCGTCACTCCCAACCACAGGGCAGCGGTACAGAGGATGCTTTATGGCAATCAAATTGCTATTACGGTCGGGGGAAAAAATAGGAAACTGTGAAAATATTGAAACAAATTAAAGTGTGACTGAGGAAAAACGAGCCGGCTGACTGAAGATGGAGGAATGAGTGCCGAGATTGGGCGTTAATAGGAAAAAGGTGCTAAAGATATTTAGAGTTAGAAATTGAGAGGGAAAGACTATGGCGCGTTTCCACTACAGCGCGCAGCCCGGTTTAAGAGGGCTGTGACGTCAGCGGCCCGTCTTTGGTTGCGTTTCCACTTGGCCTAGTACCGGCCGGCGGGTCCTAATTCACAGTTTTTCTGGCCTCATAAAATCGTGGGTCCAGGGCCAGAGACAACGAGGCTGAGTCGGGCTGAGTATGCTAAACTAGAGAGAGCGTCGCTGGCAAGGGGGCTACAACTACAACAAGATGGACATATTTGACCGTGATTTAATTGTAATACACGTTTCAAAATGATGCCGAAGTAACAACATACTGATACCGGTTAGTAAAAACCATGAATTAATGCTTTGTCAAGTCTGCAGACAGACGGCAGGCGAAAAACCTTTTAAAATGCTTGTTTTCTAAATGGAGATTGGCTAAGCTAACGCAGTAAATGCTCCGACCGTCCACACTCACAACAACGGCCTATACAGACATAAATAAAGCAGCGACTGTATTCACCATGACACAGGCAGTCTGTGGTTTGTACTTGTTTAACTTTTGTCTAGTTTCTGAACATATATGAGGAGCTGTGAGCTCTGAGTGCTAACAGCTAACGGCTGTGTTGTTTTTCTGGGGTCCTCTGAAGATCACGTCACGGCTCCGCCTACACTGCGTTACTATAGATACTGCCCCAGTTCCTAAACTGTAATGGAAATGCGCCATAAAGTGAGCCAGTCCTAACGAGGCCCAGCCATACCGAGCGGGGCCGAGCGAGGCCGTGTAGTGGAAACGCGCTAGACGCAGGTGTGGGCTCATTACTGTGAAGCGCAGCGGCCATAGAATAATTACAGCAGGACCACACAGGAGAAGAGAGGAGATGAAAGGAGGGAGGAGGAGGAGGAGGAGGAGGAGGAGGCAATGCAAAGCAGCAGAGAGAGAAACTCAGAACAACTGCATCCATGCTTTGAACATCATTGGCTATGCAGATTGTTCCAGCTATGAAAACACGCTAACTGCCTCTCTAAGGAGATGCCATGGCATGATTCGCGGCTTGTATTACAGCGAGGGTCCTCTCTGAAGGTTAACCCGGTGCAGCACTAAGTGTCTCTGGGTACCATTTGTATAATCTGTGGTAACGTTGTCATGTAGCCTCTTTTCTTGGATAGCATGTGGCAATTCTCTTGATCCCAGTTTGAATGGGATTTGGTGCAATGACATGTAAACGTTTGAGTCTTAATACCCTTTTTTAAAATTAAAGTTTTGTTTTCTTAAAGGCATTTTTAAACAGAATGTTTTTCATTACGTGCTAAAATAAAAGCTCTGGAGCTTAGGTATGAAGTTTCAAATATGATTATTTGTAGAAAATGTTTACCTAAGTACTTCAATATTTATTTTCAAAGTTCATTAATGGACTTTGGAACAGCAGTTGAAGGCACAATGTCATTTCAATATCTATTTAATAGCTGTTGTGGTAAATATATCAGAACATCTTCCTCAGCAGGCTGAGTTTGCCCCGTTGTCATGGGACAATGTTTATGTAAAGATGAGTACAAACATTTTAAACATCTGCAATCTGAAATGTTACACTTTGATTGAACTCTCCAGAGCAGATACTGGACTCTAAGGTTATTTTGTCTACAACACCTTTACTTTTGCAGGTGCATCAAAACAGCCCAATATTGCACCTATCTGAAGGTTTTAAATTGACATTGAAAGCTTTCTGCATGTTTGGATGGCATATGGTCAAAGGATTACTTAAAGTCCTTATTTCACTTGTTAAGGTACTAATTCTTCGAGTTCAATGAGACCAAAGTAGCTCATGAGGGTTCACCCAATTCATTGCTTCTGAAGCACATGTGTGCACGCATATATGAAAGTGAATGAAAGGGACGGTGAATGAGTGTGAGTGAATGAGGGAGGGAGGGAGAGAGAGAGAGAGAGAGGGAGGGAGGGAGGCAGCAGCTGTCTGCCTGGATGACCTCAGCTGCAGCTGCTGCCCCCCCGCCCGCTGCCCTCTGTATGCCAGCTCGCCTTTGAAGTTCAGGTCAATACCGATACAGCTCTGGATCACAGACCGATAATGATTACTGGAGAATAGAAGCGCTTAATTCATGGCCAATTATCCAAATAATTGAGCTAACAAGCAAAACATGTATATGTGTGCACCTGAAATTGGATGGCAACCCTGACAGAAACAGAAACGGTACTTTCAAGGATGTTTCATTTTTGTGGTTTAAGCAAAAGTTGTATATATCATATTCTAGATATTGCTACATGTATACCAAGAAAACAAGCATTGAGTCTTTTTGTAAATCGTAACATTTGAGAGGTTTCTTTGCCAGCAGAATTCTTTCAAGATTCCCACTTTGGTACATTAATATTGGCAGGTTATATCTGTACCGCAGCACTTTGCCGACGGTGGGCATAGAGAGATTCTCTGGAACGCTGGAACCTGACACACACACGCACACGCACGCGCACGCACACACGCACACACACACACACACACACACACACACACACACACACACACACACACACACACACACACACACACACACACACACACACACACACACACACACACACACACACCACACACACACACACACACACAGGATGGCATGTAGACAAACACATGGAATGATGCACACACAGAGGGCTGTAGAGACATACACACACTGATTTGCATGTGTTAATGCGCACTGACACACCGTTGACCCGCCAGGTATTTTGTTTACATGGTAGAAGTTAAGGGAAGAAGCTATTTGAGTCTCAACTGTATAGAAACAAGAAGTTTGTCACAGGGTATAGCCACCACTTTGGAAATTAAAAGTTTGAAAAACTTAACATAAAGATATTTACAATCAGACACTGAAAACTGACTCAGTGTTTCAGATGCCGTGTTGGAAAATGATCATGTAGAAAAAAAACAAAGCCCAACAATGTGTCTTTCATAGAGACATCGAAATGGAGACACACACCCACACACACATTTCCTGCTCATTCATAATCATACAGGAACACACAAGAACAACAATTGTGGTCAGACACGCGCACAAAGCATAACAACTCAGACAAAAGCAGCGCTTCATTGTCTGGGGAATTACACAGATTTGATTACTGTATAATGGCCCCACCAACCAAACCTGGCTAATTATACCAGTCGAAAACATACATATTTACACTGAACTGGCATTGTATCGCCTCCAGCTGTCTTTAGTGTCTGTCATTTGAATTGAATTCAAGGTTTGCTGTTGTTTATGTTTCATAGTTTGTTTCTTTATTATATTAATGTTATAATTTATAAAATAACGTATTCTTATATCCCAGAAACTCACACAGGAGAATCAATGCAAGCAAGCCAGAATGAAAAAAAAGTAAAGAAAAATAAAGCCTGAAAAAACAGATGCTAGGATGGAAACCGTCTGTAATCATACAAACACACGCGTAAACACAGCCCCACACTTTTTCAATAAGAGACTAGTAGTGTAGCTTTCTTGTCCAATCACAATTTTGAAAGTTTGAAAAGTATCACACAGCCCGGGTCTCAACGATGGTAAAAATTGTCACGATCTTGGTGTTATGTCACGGTGTTAGTGTTGTCTGTCTGGTAATGGGTTTTGTTTTGCTGTTCTGTTCTCCCTGTCTCTTGTTTTCCTCCTGTGTCTGATTGTCTCATTGTGTTCACCTGTTGCCCTTGTGTTTCTGCCTCCCTTACCCAGCTGTTTCTCGTCCCGTGATTACCCCTCTCTGTATTTAGTCTTGTCTTTCCCTGTGTTCCCCTGTCGGTTCATTGTTTGTTTTTCCTGTCTCCCTCCATGTCAGTCACGGTCAGCTTTTTGGTGAAGTATTTTCCTTGTGTTACCCATGCCATGTTTTTTGATCTTCAGCTTTGAAAATAAAGCTCGCCTTTTGTTTATAGACGTCTTACCTTTTTGTAGTCTGCATTTGGGTCCTACCTTTTCCGTGATCTTAACAGTGATCCTAACAGTGATCCTAACAAAAATAAATCTTCCAAAAAGTTGTTTGATAGTTCTAAGTAACATATCAAGTCCAAGGTAAAAGTGATATTAGTACCAATCCTCAAACTAATTCAAATGTTGATATTTGCGTCTCATTTCACAGTCACATTGTTTTTCACTTACCTATAACGATGAGGGTGTAGTTGATGTTCACACTGCCGAACCCGTTGGTGGCCTTGCAGATGTAGGTCCCTGCGTCTTCAGGCTCCACCTCTTTGATCCGCAGACCGTGCTGCAGCACCCTGAAGCGCGTCCAGCCGCTGTGGATGTTGCGGCCATCTTTGGTCCACATGATGAGCGGCGGGGGGTCTCCCTCCACGGGGCAGGGCAGCTTCATGGTGCGACCCAGACGGACGCTCTGCCGGTGGGCCACCCGCTCTGACACCCTGGGAGGACCTGGAGGGTAAAAGAGGAGAGAGGGAGTTATTGAGATGATCAAACTATATTTAAAACTGTGTTATTGTCAGATAAATACACATTTTGATTAACTATCCTCCTAACACGCAACTCCTCTTCAGACTAGTTACAGGACACAAAGTTTACTGATTAAGTAAGGTGTACACAAATCTGCTTACTAAAGGTGTAAACAGGCGGGTTGGTTGACATTATAGACACCTCCTTAGGAAAGTTTTTTCATTTCCGATCAGAAAAGTTTTTTGTTTTTTTTCAGCAGCAGAAAAATATATTTTAAAACTAGGAAAAAATATGAAATGATTGTAGACTAATTATTATCCATAATGTTAGCACCAACAGATGTTTGCTTTGATAGGTCAATCTGATCCACACTGGCAGAGATACATCTAAAATATATATAATGTATCTTCCTATCAAGGGCTATTATTCATCCATTGTTACCCGCGTGTATTCATGTCCACCTTAAATAAGGTTGCGGTAACTATGAAATGTCAAAAAGTAGTAAATAAATTCACATTGAAATTCCTTGAGGTCAAAGTGACCTCTTTTTTTCTCTATTCCAAACCCCAAAATGTTGCCTTTACAATAATTTAGGAAAGATGCTAATTCTTAATGTTGAGAAAATGCAAACAGAATTATTGGTATTTTTCTTCATTTTTGCTTGACAAATGACTTTTAGGTGTGTTGAGAGACGGAAGTATTTAAAGGGAAGTGGGTGTGTCAACAGGTTTAGGATCAAGCTTACAATGACCGCTTGTAAATGCCTTTTCTTCACCTCCATGTTTGCCGGTACCTACTCTTTTTCATTGCTATTCTCAGAACCAATGAAGCATCCAAATATGGCTTTTAACACACACAAGGTATCCTCTGACCTTTAAGAAGATTATCATGGCTTAGCTCAAACATTGACATTTGATCACAGACAACAATAGAGTGCCCAGGCAGCAAACACAAAGCCAAGCTGATATCAACGGAGATGTCGTGGCGAGACATAAAATCAGGCGTGACCTTGACCGCTCAGTAGCCGCTCTACTGTGAAACTGCACACTAGGAAAACAGAGGGAGGTGAAGGAGCCGGCTGATTGACTGGGGAAGGTGGGAGGAAACTGTGGGGGTGATGGAGAGAACAAATAAGGAGCAGGGAGAAAGAGAAAGGAGAGGAAGGTAAGAAGAGAGAAAGGGAGGAAATTGGGGAATGAGGGAGGATGGAATTTAAGGCAGTCAGTCTGAGAAGAGAATGAAATATGGCCGAATAGGGGAGCAGTAAAAAGGACAAACAGGAAGAAGCAGGAGGAGGTGTAGGAGTTAGCATGCTTCACTGCACGTCTCCATCTCATTACTCCTTCTGCCTTAAAACAATACCCTACAAATATAGCTCTAAAAACACACAATAGGCCACCTTTTAGCAAACAAAGTGTCCTAACGGACTACAAAAGTCAATTGTTAGGAAAACATCACAGAACGACCCACTGCAGGTCATGCCAGTTTAAGATTTAAAGGAAGGACAAAGGCTCGGTGGATTTGAACAATGCCCTGTTCAAGGCTTATCTAGATTACATATAGGCTGATAAAGATTAGTAACATATCAACGCAAATATAGGGCCCCCTTTCTCTGATACCTTCTTATCACACAGAGTTAACACAGCCAGATACCTTAATTTGCCCTTGTGAAAAAGGGGTTAGTAAACAAGGACTATTGTGTTGTTTCTAGAGAGAAAGAGATGTTGGGATGTGGCCACAGGTGAAGAATAGGTGATCAGTAGATGAAGAGTTAAACACCCAATATAATTGAGCCCAGTGAAGCACATGAAGAGGCTAACCCTGCCATTAATGAACGACCAACCCTACCTACTGAACAAGTTTGTGAAACCAAAAGGATAATTGCAGCTTGCTAGAACTCAATTTGTAACATCCAGCATCAAAGCAATTCTGTGCCAAATTCCCCACATGTATACATTAAAATAATTCTTGTATCTTTTTAGAATAGATAGACTTACACAAAACATTATATTGCATATTCCAGTGTACTCCTGTTTTCTAACACCTCTTGAAATGATCCCACATTGCAAAATGAAAAAAATTATGTGTGAGAAACAACTGCGCCATGTCAAAGTTAAACCTTGAAGTTGGCCTGTATTGTAAAATGTAATTTAACATTACATTTTATTTAATTGTTTTCTCTTCAAGATAAGTTTGCTTATTTAAAAAGCTGTTTAAAACCTGTCTGGCTGACTTATGTATATTTCTTTGGGATAATAACTTGTAAAACAACTCCCTAAGTGGAATAAACATGAAAAATGATCTGCTACACAGATGGCTTGTAGCACTAACCTATATGCATATTTGCTTTTTTGGATTGGCTTTACAGAAAAGTGTTTCCCCCTTCCTTCAGGGTCTCAAACTTCTGAAGATTCAAAGAAAGACTCCCCATCATTGGCCCAGCTGTCAATTGTCACCAAAACAAAACAAAGCTTGATTTATTCCACCAATGTGCAGCTGTGGATGTCTGAGATGAATAAGGCGAAGTCGTGGACATAGAGCTGAATAAAAAAGGAGAACAGCTACAGTAGTCTTCTAGCACTTGCTGTTGTTTTAACAGGCGAGCAGGAGGTGGACACAATGATGGATGGATGCTGGGTAAATGTGTGAAAACGGCATTAGTCACACAGAGGTATTCACGGGAGCTTCTCCTCCCTCTCTCTCCATGTGTTCGCTCAGCTGTATGGCTTTCTCATCAGGGGCCCGACAGCTCACTTCTACTTCTCCTTTTCTATACCTCCATTTCTTTTTATTACATACTGTATATCTCCTCGTTGTAAATAATCTCCTTTCTAACTTTAATTCCTGTCCTGTTTCTTTATTTTTCATTGCCTATTGTCCTACATCCACCTCTTCTTCCCTATACCCAATACCTTTTAATGTTCCTATGTTTTCTCTCTTCTCATTTCTTCCTCCAACAGATTGAAATCTCATTCCTCTGAACTCTCTCTACTCCCCTGCTACTTTTCTCGTTCTCTCCCTTAACCCCTCGCTTCCCATTACTCTCCTCTCTTTTCCCCTGTCATCGCTCTTTTCCCCCCTCTCTATTTTGCTCTCTTACTCCATGCACTCTTTTCCTCTTTCATCACACTCATTCGCAACCATCCTCTTCGTTCAATACCGTATCTTTTCTTTCTCTCCCGTGTGATTTACTGGTCTCCTGCCTTTTTGGGATCTGCACTCACACATAACTTCCCCAGTTTCTTCCCCAGAGGATCGCAGGAGCAGAACCTCGAAGTGAACCCTTAACTTTCGACAGTTAACCTCTCTACCTCCCCCTTTTCTTATTTTCCTCTCTTTCTCTATCCGATGAAGGGAACACAGACCAGCAGCCTCCTTTCCTTCCCCTCCTCATCCTCCTCTTCCATGATCCATGACTGAAGTAAAGTCTTTTAAAATGTGTCTCTAGGGGTGAAACTGAAGAAAGTAAAACATCTATTCTACTCTTTAACAAGACAAAGGGTCAGTGTGTGGGTCCTATATGTGCTGCTGAGTGTTATGCTAAATATAATCAAATAATTCTAATCACAGTCTTTGTTGTCTGTTATATACTGTTTAGAAAGCCTGTGTCTTTGTACGTCTGCATGTGTGTGTGTGGGGAGGAGAATAGAAAATGTCAGGCCTCTAAAACGTTGGTCTGTTTAGTCCATTTGGGGCTTTATGGCGCTCCCTTGCCTGTAACTGTCCCCCCGAGACAATCTAAAGCACCTTGAAGATTGTTTGTGGGCCTCCAGACACACACAAACACATACCACGCTCCGCCTCCCTCTCCTTCTCCTTATATGCAGGGTGTGTGTCGGTAGGCGTGCACGTCTGGTATTCTGTAGCCCTAATGACAGGAAAATACGACCCACGTCAGAAACACACTACTCCCACAGAGGCAGCTTCCAGCCCCGAGCTGCACATCCTCTGCATGGATGGTAGCTCAAGGCCAAATAAAGCAGGAATCAGTCCACACGTTCTGCTCTTTTACTGGTGACTCCCAAAAACAACTGCAAATGCACTGCTCGAATTCCATAAAAGGAAAAGTTTGAGATTTTGGGGACTGCTTAATCCCTATCAGTTGTTATGAAGCTGGAGGAGTGCACGCCTCCAGATCCACCAGCTTCAAGACCATACATTTAAAATATTGTTTTAAGCTAACTCAAGACAGCCCCCCCCCCAATACTGCTCTAGTGTATAATGGATTTTGTAACTCCTTTTGTTATTGTTTGTCTTACTTTTGTTTGGTGGGAAATCGTGCTCCAAGTTTCAAACAGGATGTTTAATAAGCCTTCATTTTTTAAGAAATTGGCAAATTTGCATTACTAAAAGTTTGCCAAATGTTCTATTAGAAGTTCCTTTTTCCAGAGTTAAAGGTGGGGTAGGTAAGTTTGAGAAACCGGCTCGAGATACACTTTTTGTTATATTCCATGGAATGCTCTTAACATCCCGATAGCAATGAATATCTTAAAAAATCCATAAAAAAATGTCATCTGTGGAAGCCGTAATACTGTAAAAAGTACGACCAATCATTTTTAAATAACTGGATGGCCTACCTGCCTGTCAGCCTTCCATCTGTGCACAAACTTATCTCGTGCCCTCATTGGTCATGTGCGCGTTCGTGTGTGTTGGAGGAGGGGCTCTGTCAGGAAGTGGCAGATTTTCTCCGGCTGTGTATTTTCAAATTCTAGCGCACTCGAGCTGGTTTCTCCAAAATTACCTACCCCACCTTTAAGATTTGAGCGAGTTATGACTTTACTAAAAAAAATAGTAGTGTTTTTCACTCAAATCCACCTCATGGAGTATCTTTGCCTCACATTTGTCTGGCTCTGTCATCGAGATTAATCTACAGATATACATTTTGTCGTCACACTCAAGTGCACACAGACTGTTTTTCTTGCTTTGGCCAACAAATACTTCTAGTAAACCTTTGCATTTTCACACGGTAACATTAGCAGATA